TGTCCCCCCTCAGCTCACGAGTTGGTTCATCTCGCCTGCTCGATCGTGGAGCTACCATATCAAAATGAGTAGGTAATGATATCTTGTACCTTATGTCACTTCTTGGGAGTGGGAGGGTAAAAAAGTAACAGACTGGGAAGCATATGCATGGAAAATCAACGCATGCATAACAAAGTATTTTTCTTTTTAAACTGAACCACGCAGAGAAAGCAAAGCAGAAGGTGTGTTCAAGGAAGTCCGTTTTGAGCAGATCCCGTCAAAGTATCTCACAAAAGAAATCATACCAAATCTGTGCGAGAAATACAACATTTGCGTCGAGCGAGTCAGAGATGCTTTGGAAAAACAGGCTGTTTCTGGAGAAAGTGCACGAGCGCCTAAATCAGACTTTGCAAGGAAACCGCAAGACGTTATCTACGTCATCAGCTGCAGAACTAACCTCGTGGAGCGATTCGATAACGTCAAGTGCGCATGCGTTCGGTGTCCCGAGATGTCACCGACAGGGCCTGTGGAGAGTCTGAGGGAAAACCGCTGTGCAGTTGTAGTGGGTCAGGATCTTTATTGTGTGTCAAATATCAAAGTCGACAAGTTTAGTGTATTGGAGCTTTGTTGGACTGAAGTTGGAGAAGGTAGGAAAGAATCCTACGTATTAATATACTCATTACCCTGAAGTCCATCTGATAACTCGGAGAATATATAGCTGAACTAAGCTGCGTCTTGTTTTTGTTTGAGTAAGCTTTTTTCTACACAATGTGATTGTCAAGATCTAGGAAATATTATTTTAAAATGTAAACTGGCAGAATTCTCTTGCGAGTCCGGCCTTTGCATGAGAGTTGTAGTCGATGAAGGAGAAAAGAGACCTTGAAAATGATGTATCTTAGAACGATAGTTTACACTTTAGCACGCTAATTCTCATGTACCTTTACAGTGTTGTCGTAAAAAGATTCAAAAGCAAAAGTCGGCCTGTACTTTGAATTGAGCGGACTACTTATCTCTGGCTTGTTAGATTTCCATTTTTTTTCTTTACCTTTCCGGCCAAAGTGACTTGCCTGACTATTCTGACACTATTCTGTGTAGGTGTTAATGTCCATGACTCTGGCGTGTGTGCAGGAAAGGACTGCATCTTCGTGGTGGGAGGAAGGCAGAGAGGAGAAGGAGCCTGTAAATTTGATTTAGAGACACACGAGTGGATGGACCTACCCGACATGAGTACCCGCAGGAGATGCCCTGGTAAGTATTTAATACAGTTCTACTAGTTAGCACCCTCGACCATGCAGATCAAGCGGTCTAGGTTCGAGCCCTGGCCGAAGACATTGTTTTGTGTTCTTGGGTAAGACACTTAACTCTCACAGTGAATGCCTCTCTCCAGCCAGGTGTGCAAATGGGTACCGGCAAATTTAATGCTGGGGGTAACCCTGCGATGGACTAGAATCCCATCTGAGGGAGAGTAAAAAAATACTCCTGGTTGCTTTATGCCATAGAAACCGGAGAAAAGCGCCGGCCTAATGGGCTACATCGCTCGTATGCAGTCTTAACCTTTTGCTTTTATCTCCTTTTAATTTCCAACATCAGTAGAACTTAAATTTCTTTTTAACCACAAACTGAAGTTCTCGGTGAGTTCATAATGCTTTTATCAATGGAAAGATGCACATTGCGTCATCTTCTGACAAAAACCACGTTTCCCTTATAGAGGAAATGACTTAAGACCTTTGCATTACCAGAAGACGTCCCCATGATTTCGCGCGCGTGGACAAACCTTCATTGTACCACATATAGCGTCTAGTAAAGCGTTTCATAGTTCATCTTCAAGTAAAATGAGGAAACGAAACCATAATATCGTTTTCTACCTGAAGTCGTGAGGTGATTGAAGGTGAAGAGATTATGGAATTGTTCTTAAACCAAAGCTGAACTTGATATATTAGTTGTAAATTGAATTTAATGGACTTTGTAACGCACCACACCTCACCTCTCGTTCTCAGGTGTGGCGTTCCTGTCCGGCAAATTATACGTTATTGGAGGCCACAGTCCAGAAGGAGCCTTAGCGTGCACAGAACGCTTTGACACAAAACAAGAAAAGTGGACTACCTTGAAGCCCATGAACTTACCACGCTTTCTGCTAGGCGCATGCGTAGTAGATGGCCTTGTGTACGCTGTCGGTGGTAGGAATAACGAGCGAAGCCTGGACACTGTAGAAGTCTACGACCCTAAAGCTAAAATTTGGACTGTTATGGAGGAAAGCATGCGAGAATGTAGAAATGATTTTGGACTCGTGTCACAAAATAATCAAATTTACTGCATCGGTGGACGAGGAGCTAATTCCATCGAGTGCCTTGACGTGGAATCAAAGGAGTGGAGAACCGTTGGCTCAACGGGAGAAAATAACTTTAGCATAAGCTGTGTGTTTTACCCACCATTGTAGGCATCACATGCGATGTGACATGGATATTGATTCGTCTTCTCGATAGAGCTCTAGCCAATTAATTATTATAAAACATTTAATTTGTTACAGAATTCAGCAAATCGTTCAGTTTAGCAGGTAGCTTGCGTTACGGTGCCTTTTCGTTAGTAAAATTGATGTGGTTAGGAATATAAATCGTTGAAATTTCTCTAGTAATAATAAAGTCGCCTCTGCAAGCGTTCCTACTGGTGTTGTTTTCGTTGCCGTGACTCATTTTTCATCTGAATCAAACTGAATGGATTTATATATTTATATAAACGGTGATGTGTATAGTCTCCTTGAGAGCCGTCGTACTGCGCATGCAGGGAGTACTATGTACGAAACGTAACTAACTGGAACGAAGTGATTAAATAATTAACTGACTGACTGGCTGGCTGGCTGGGTGGCTGACTGACTGACTGACTGACTGACTGACTGACTGATTGACTGACTGACTGACTCACTCACTCACTGACTCACTCACTGACTCACTCACTGACAAACTGGCAAATATGAAAATCGAGGAGCATTAATCCCAGTAGAAGAGCGAACATGTTTAGTACGCAAAGAAAATTGCATAGAACATGAACAGTATTTCTTGATGTATTGTCGGGGGTATACCACATTAAGACGTGAGCTGCACTCACATATTTCAAACACCTATTACCCCAGTTTAAGTAATAACGAGAAGACGAAGTATTTTCTTAGAGCAGAAAACACGGTTACATCTAAAATAATAGGTAAATATATCCATTCTAGAAGAGAGAAGAGATTCTCAATTCACAAAAGTAATTAGCACTATGAGTTTCCCAATTTATTGTATACGGATGTGATAAATATTATTTTGTATTATTAGTTAACGTTGAAACCTTTATTGTAACTAGACCAATACCTCCCTTTGGAGAGTAAGGCGCAATAAAGATATACTATTACTATTACCATTACCATTACCATTACCATTACCATTACCATTACCATTACCATTACCATTACCATTACCATTACCATTACCATTACCATTACCATTACCATCACCATCACCATCACCATCATCATTACCATTACCATTACTATTATTATTACTATTAGTATTACTTACTGACTCACTGACTGACTCACTGACTGACTGATTGATTGATTGATTGATTGATTGATTGATCGATTGATTGATTGAACGACGAAGGAAAGAAGGAAGGAAATAAAAAAATTCAGGACTACTGATTGGTTCATTTTTAAACGCCTTTCTACAAATATGAACGCAAACTGTAACTTTATTCAAAAGGTATAATTCACATGTTTCTGGGTTTGGAACTTTGCTGCTTGCAAAGAAAATGAAATATACAAAAATTATGTATATACTAAGGACGATTCATAATGTTAAATACCTCGGTAATAAATCCCAAATGTATATAAGAGTATACAGCCCAATTAGCCCACTAGGAGACTGAAACAATAACGATGATGTATACAAGAGTAAAAAAAGAGAGCGAGTGTGAGCTATCAAACTGAACGTGTCAAGCAAGCTTTTTGTCTTCATCTAATTCAAAAAAAAACTTTGTTTTGTACGCCCCAAGAATTTCAGTCAGGGGTTTTACCCTCTTGCCTTAGCATTATAGTCTAGATTCACAAACCTTGCTCGCACCAGGCCACTGTCTCAGAGACCACTGCGCTTTCAATCTAGGAACACCCCAGGCCTTGAGGGTAAGGAAGATTGGGGCGGAGCCTGAAGATATTAAGATATCAATATTCTTAACCAATTTCAGCAAACAGTAAAGATCATCAGGGGTTTGACAGAACTAGTAACGGCTGCAATTTTCCGGTGAACAAGATCGATAAATTAATTTTCACGGTCTATATATATTTAATATTTAAGCGCGGTTAACTTAGAATTCCTGGAAAAATAATTTTTAAATAAATTAACACATTTGCTCACATCTCTCTTAAAAAATCAATTTTAATAATCTAGCACAGTGACACATGGTTTCCTTGATGGGCTGTAACCATGGTAATAAGATAGGCTCACTCCATCTTAAAAATAGCATCATTATTCTGCTACTAATTAGGACTATCGCGTGATCAAATCCAAAAGCAAAAAAGGCACAAACACACACTTGCACGTGTATAAAACATTCAGAGAGTATCTTTGAGTAGTATTATTCATATTAATTCAGGAAAGAGTTGTCGCTGTTTTCTTTTTCCGAACCAAAAACAAGGTATAACGCGACGCTAGCTAACAAAGTGACCCTGATTACTATAAAATATATATTGCTATTATTATTAAAACGACATCATTGGACAATGCAATTCGAGAGTTTTCATTGGCTTAGCCATCATGGTCTATGGGCCATTATACCATGCTCAACAAAAGTAGTAAACGCACGCATGATTTTTTGGGGGTGTTCCTATTTTTAGTTTAGTTAATTTTTCTATATTTTGGGGGAGTTTTTAATAAAACAATTGTTCCAATCGCGCTTGTTGGATATGAGATGATTATAGCCAACGAGGCCCGTAGAGCCGATATTTTCATCACAAATTTGGCTATATCGGACATTATTTTTATCACTGTCGCATCGCCACTGGGCGTTTATATCTACTTTGTATAGGTAATCATACGGTTTCGAGTTCAATTTGGAATTAATCTGCACGAGTGAGTTTTTCAAAAAGCTGAAATTGTACGAGCCGCTTCGGCGAGTGTAATTTCAGCTTTTTGAAAAACTCACAAGTGCAAATTAATTCCAAATTGAACGAGAAAAACCGTATGATTACTTATTAATAATACAAACATGAAAAAATTCGCGCGGAGGAAGTGCCGGAAGATCTTTCTTGAAGCCATTTTTTCTCATTCGAGAAAAATATTTTCAAAGTTTCAGCACAAAATTTTCGTCATCATTTTACGTGATATCATTTTCTTAGAAAAGTTCCTATTGTCTTTCAGTCAATCATAATCCAGAATT